CCCAGATTCCTCGCTTACCAGGCAGCGAAAATGGTGGCCGTATGGAGGATTTTCGCATAAAGGTGAGTTTTTTGCCCATAGGAACACATTAAACAGGTTTTAATGCATTCCTATGGGCTTTTTTATTTCGCATAGTAATGAATCCATATAGCGACGATTTTGGCTGCACGGATTATCGTCGCTATGCGGGGCACCACTGTAACTGGTTTATAGGTACAATGGATTGGATATGACAGAATGATAGAAAAAGTGTCAACATGAATTTGACACTACGGGAAGCAGTGGAAGATAGGAGGGCCTGGCGTGCTCTGGTCCATGGGGTCACGAAAAGTTGAACACGACTAAACGGCGATACTCTAATGATCCTGTGGAATACATTGATTGTCTAAATGTTTATGCCAACCAGTTCACTGTAACTTCAACCAGCATTAATACAATTGTTATTTTTTATATTTTATTTGCCATACTCCTGTAACTAAAACCAATATTGCTTCAAAATACCCAAAAGCATATTGCTTCAAAATGGTACTTGTCATCTGCAGAAGTGGGTGATACCATGAAACCTCATGTCAAATATACGTTATTAATGGTGCTGTGGTGTGTTGTGCCATCAAGTCAAAATTGACTTATAGTTACCCTAATAGGGCTTTCAAGGTAAATGAGATTTAAGGAGTGGCTTTACCAGTTCCACTCTCCCAGTGAGGATTCAAACCCTGTTCTCCAGAGTCCTAGTCCCATCATTCTATCCACTACACTAGTGGTCCCCAACTCTTCTGAACTGTGGACTGATTGAGGGGATGGGGTCTGTGAACAAGGATAGAGCCCCCCTACTCACAGTTGGGTGTGGTGCACATGCATGCATGCATGGATAGCTGTGGCGTGTTTGCGGGTGAGTGGGGCGCACTCGCGCACATGTATGGGTGAGCGGGGCGGTGGAAAATGAAGGTTGGTGGGCCATGTATGCATGTGGGCGTGTGTGGGGGAGTGTATGCGGGGGGGCAGATGTCCCCACTACCTGGTCCTGCGAAAGCCACAAAATGGCAATGGCCAGGGGGGTGGGGACCCCTGCAGTACACCACACTGGCAATTCACGTTAAAGGTGCTACAAGGTTATTTTTCCCATCCCATATTCTTCAACATGCTTTCACTAGTAGCATTTTCCACCTATCTTATTCTTGTATTCGCGAAGGCTTTCACGGCCAGGATCTAATGGTTGTTGTGGGTTTTTCGGGCTTCTTGGCCGTGTTCTGAAGGTGGTTTTTCCTAATGTTTCGCCAGTCTCTGTGGCTGGCATCTTCAGAGGACAGCAAACTGTGCTCTGGTGTAGTTTGGCTAGGGCGTGGAGTATTTATGGCTGTGAGTTGGAATGATTAGTGTGTATTGTTGTGGGTGTATTGTTTTCTGTGGATGGGTGATTAGTGTGTTTTGTTGTTGGTGTATTGTTTTGAGCTTATCCTTTCTAATTAAAGACTATCACAGAGATGTTATGAACCCTTTGCTGCTTTCTACCTGCACTTCATTTGCTGCAGATTATATAACTGGAATTTTTCATTCACTGTACAGTGGTGCCCCGCTTGACTATTACCTTAGATGAGGAAATCACTTAACGATGAGTATTTTGCGATTGCTATAGTGATTGCAAAACAATGTTTAGATAGAAAAAAACACTTGACAATGATCGGTTTCCTGCTTTGGGAACCGATTTTTCGCTTGACAAAACAGCTGATCGTCGGGGCTTCAGAATGGTTCCTCGCTGTTTTAGGACTGATACCTCGCTGTACAGGCACTGGAAAATGGCCGCCCTATGGAAGATCTTTGCTGGACACTGAGATATTTCACCCATTGGAACGCACTGAACTGGTTTTCAATGCATTTCAATGGGTTTTTTTTTACTTTCGCTTGACAACAATTTCGTTCTACAGCAATTTTGCTGGAACGGATTATCCTCGTCAAGCGAGGCACCACTTGTGCTTAGAAAGAATGTCAGCTTATTCTGGCTGATAGACATTTTGTATAATGGATGTGCTTCTAAGAGTACTGTATAACTATTTTCATAATACTTCTGGATTCCACTAATAACGTTCACATATCATCATCCATGTGGTGCTTCTACTATGAAAGCTCATCCAGACAAACAGGAATGGAATGTGTGTATTTGGAACACTCACCTTGTATCTGCTGTACTCTAACAATCTTCTTCAAGAAAACACCAACACAGGCTGATCAACTGAAGCTCTGCTGCTAAGACACACCAGACAATTGTTCCATGATCTGATGAGATTATCACAGAAAGTTCAGTTGTACAGATGTTCCACAGAACATATATAGAAATGTGACAACAGCCTCGACAGATATGCATAATTGAAACTGGTCACAAGATGGTAACGTTTCTAGCACCACTCTGCAGATACAAAAGTGCTCAGTGGGCATTTCCAGTTTTTATATAATCTGTCAAATCTATTACTATTAGAACTAAAAAGCAGGCCTGCCCACTGACTTTTAAAAATTAGCTGGATAACTTCTTAAAATTATACACTATGAGTAGTTCATGTGCATGTCCATCTAGAGATTTCCCACATTCAGTCAATGAATAAAAACCCACTCATGTCACCCCCTTAAATATTACTCTGGCTAAAAAATATAGACTGTAAAGAGCTGATTTAGCACTATCTGGATAAGTACCTTGTGCATGTCCTGCCCAAAGTATATTCCACAAGACATATGAATATTCACACCTCTTACCTAATAAAGATTAGTGGGACCAACCTTAAAGACAATTTTAAAATAATTTGTAGTTTCTTTATTCTACACATTAGTTTTAAATTGTTTTATTATATACAGAAATATAATTTTAAATATAAAAAATCCAATGACACACTATTAAATCCATTTAAATCTGTATAAAGGGAAATATTGTTTGGTTCTACTTTTGCTTTTCTAAAACGATACAAAAATAAAATTCTGATCATTACAGAGATGATTTAAAGTTTTAGAAGTATGCTTTCATGTCCTGCTATTCAAACAAACCTGAAGAGACAACCTTCATTGTCATATGTAGCACCATTAAACATTTAAAATGAAAGATTATATGAAAATATTTCAGAAAGTTACTATCTTTTTCTTTTTCATTTGCTTCAAGGTAAAAAGGAGAATCTTTCAATCCAGTAGCCTACAGGTAACTGGTATACTTAAAACAGTATCAGGGTAAGAAGATTTTCTTCTTAATAGAATAATTGCACCAAATTTTGTGTCAGTGTTTTTATGTCTAGTCTGAGTTCCACTGTGGCTTGTTCCAAAGTACAAACACAGAATTGTAACATTAGCGCAACTCCAGATGGCTCAATGAAGTTCTACAGCAGCAAATCCTAGATTATCAACATGATTGAATTTACACTACTGGATTTCAGTCTGTATGTAACAAAGTCAATGATTTCTTAGCTTGAGGCAGCCTGTCTTTAAAAGATGCCATTTGCATTACACCAGAGTAATTGCACAAGATTTTGTCCAGTTTTCTGTGAATAAGCTGCTTATCAAACATCAAGAATGCTTTCATGTGACCTCCCTCCGTCCATGCATGTATCATACTGAAATTAGGATTTTTAAATTATTAGAGTTGGAAAAAAGGGTATGTATGGTTGATGCAAGTTCAAACAGCGTTAGCATGGCTTAAACACAGAAGAGCAAAGTATTATATCTGTTTTTTCTTTACTGCTTTACAGCTGTAGTATAAAGAACACCATCTTGCAGCAATTGATAAAATGTTACTGCTCTCTGCAAGAGAAACAAAGATGTATACAAAATTGAATATAACATTTATGCATTCACAAAGTAACAATTAACAATTCTGGAGCTGGGGAATTCTGAACTTACTGAAGAAATTACCTGGAATCTGAAAACAAACTTCCAGTAGTTGCTGATAATCAAAATATGTACTACCACTACAGTTACCTAACTTTTTAAATCTAAAATTTTATCCTTTGAAGTAATTATGTTGTGATATAAACGATGTTAATACTGATTTTATCAAAACATACAAACTGTCAGACATTACAAATCTTTTCCTGAGTTTGGATATGGAACAATTCAGGAACAGACTCCAATAAAATGAACAAAATGCTTCATTCTTGTTCTTCCCATAATGTTAAGCTGATTACAGGTGTATATAGAAAAATCATAAAGGGAACAAATACAGCTGCTGTAGAATTTCAAGAAGCCATCCTTCAGAGTGGAATGCTGTGCCACACCCTATTAGATTGAGAAAGGGCTAAAAGTAGGAATTGCAACTTTTTATTTTCTTGGCAGTCTTAAATTCAGAGTCCTGGCCAAGCAGACTGTAAACACACAGCATCCTAGTGCAAGAAAAGAAAAAAGAAATACAGAAAGGATTTTTTAAAGTTATTGTTCTGGTCTATTCTGACATTAGGCTCTCAGGAAGAAAAACAGCTAAGAGTAGATAATGGTAGATTCATGACTGAAAATAAAAGAACTCATTTCAACTCTAAGAACTATTAAAACATTTCAATGTCATGTTATGCAGAAATTTAATAGAGGAGAAAACAGACAGCAATTTGCAAACTTTAAATCAGAACTGCACTGTTGGGTTACAAACTTAATAAATATACTTTCAAAATATTTCCCCCTATAAAAAAGTGCAAATTTCCACAGTCATATTTGCCTGTTTATATATGCATGTGCATAAAAGAGGGAGAACACACACCAATGTGTGCATGCATGCACATATGCAGAGACATCTGTGGATTGGATTCTGCAAAAATATATACCTGGCTTTAGAAAGAGCTTTGCACCAAGCAAGCCAGATACCCAACTGAATTTCTTTCAACATTGCATACAATTTCATATATATGTAGCATGCTTCTTGGCAGACTATTTTGATGCAGTATTATAATTTGTCTTGTTCCCAAGTTGTTCATCAGGGTAGGCAGCTGCCATTTAATTATAAAGATCTCCCATGTGATGCTCATAAATAGAATTAAAATGTGTTGTCCTTTCAATTTTATACTTTATTAAGGTGCTAGGAAACATCAAGTCTTTCTTGAAGTCTATTAAATATTTGTTGCCTGTGCTCCACTGTTAAGCAATAGCCAATCGCAGCTTCAATTTCTTGTATTCGTTTATGGAAACGGCAACCATCACGGGCAAGTTCTTCCCAGGGTCCTTTGCGATCTTCCTCATTGCTTACATAATACTCAGTAACTTCTTCAAGGAATGTAACCTATGACACACAAAATTAAATGAAATTATCAGCACACACATATAATGCCCAGTTTCATAACACATTTGTTTTTAACAGATCAGCTCTTAAAACACTTTGTCCTCATCCTGTTCCAGCTGTGATGGGGGGGAGAAAAAGCTAATCTTGGGTTCCTCTACAGCAGCGGTTCCTGACCGTGGATAACCCAGATGTTGTTGGACTGTATCTCCCAGAATCCTTAAGCAGGTGGCGAAGGCTTCTGGGAGTTGCAGTCTAAGAGCACTTTGGTTACCTAAGGTTGGGAACCACAGTTCTACAGGGTGAAAGGAAAAGCATAAATAAAAGAATAAACAAACATTCACAGAAAAGACAAAATCCAAAGAAACAAAACAAGACAAAAACATGTGACGCGTTATAGACTAATCATTATATTTTAATGTAAGCTTTTGTGGACACGTCCACTTCATCAGACATTAACAGACAGAATGAAATGAAATGGAATTTATATGAAATATCAGTTTCATATTTTAAATGTTCATTGGTTACGTGAAATAATTAGGCCTATGTTTGTTTTACAGTGTTGTTGCAAAAACATTTCAGGAAGACAGAAAACAGGCAAGACTCTCAGGTGATGTACTGGTACTGAAATGCAGCAGAATTTAGCTACTCTCCTAATGGGAAAAAAACAGTTAAGAATTTGGGTTCTTCACTTTTACAGGAAAGAAAAAACCTCCAGCTGTGAATTTTTGCCTGTATCTATCCTTTTTGAATATGTTTCTTTTCTGCAATAAAAAGTTCTCCTGGGTTATTACTATTAAAATATTAGTACAATTAGAGGTGCTAAAAAGGCAAACGAAAGCTTGCACAATGCACGGAAAGGCTAGCAGAATAAAAGTAACAACAACCACTTTAAAATATATTACTTAAATTAGTAATATAACAACTGCAAACTAGGGTTCTAACCCATCTTGCTCAACTACATACATTTCTAAGCTGCACTTCATTATTGTCTCCTGCCTCTGAGCCTGACAAAGGATTTTGATTAAAACAAAAACTTTCTCATTTCTTTGTGATTACTTAATTATTCCTTATGAAGGCATTGCCCAAATATTGCTTCTCAACCTTTTTCTTAATGGACCAACATGGTCAATTCACTTCCCACTCCCCCCTTTCCATTAAATACCATTTTACTGTGCTTCTTAAAGTAGTCATATGCACTAAGTTCTAAGTCATATACAGCCAGAAATTTAGAATTTAACACCTGATTCCTTATATAGTTATAAAACTAGTGGAATCACAAAGTCAAGCAGCTTATCAACTAAACAAAACTGAAACATCCCTACAGTGGTCCCCAACTCCTGGTGTGCGAGCCGGCAGCCGTCTGTGGCTTAGGCAGGACCAGGCTATGGACACAGATCTCCTGACCCCACACAAGCGTGCCCAGAGAGCATGACATGCCCCCGTGTGCATGCACACACACATGCACACCCCGTAAGTGCAACATGCCCCGTGAGCGCAACATCCACCCCCACGCATGCCACGCCCCCCAACCCACCTGTGGCTGGGAAAAGGTTTGGGACCACTGGATTAAAGGACACCAGAACCTTATAATGCTTTGTCTGAGCACAGAAATATTTTAAAGTTTATAGCTACCGTCATAGAAACAGGTGGATCACAAGGTTGCCAAACATAGTTACATCAGCCTCTCCCTGTGTGCTTTATCCTTTCTTTCATTTTACATCATTCTATGGTATCCTCCAGGGAACCATTACTAGGTCATGTAACATTATGCTAAATATTACAGACCTTCCATTCATTTACTGTATTAGTAGAAAAAATGCACAAAGGGCTTGAAAATTCAGAAGTTACTCCAAGTGATTTACAGGGAAGGTGAAGTAAAATGTATATGACGATAGTTCCAAAAATCTCACAGCTTATGTTTGTGATCTTCCACTTGTTTAAATTCATGGAGAACTACATGTTCCAAGCTGCTATTTATATCACTGCAAAGCAGCAGTAGGACTAGATTTGGGGATACCTGAGCTTTAATTTTTAAAAAAACCTTAACCATTAGACAGCACCTTAAAATGAATTTACACGGGCTAACAAATTCAAATACTATATTTTCCATGTTTAAGACACCCTTCCTTTTCTAACCCAAAATTTCTTTCTCTGCAAAAAAGGGCAGGGGGAAGGCAGGGATCAAAGCACTTTGATTCCTGCTTTCTCCCCTCCACTTTCTTGGGAAGAAAGTACTTTTCCCCTCCACTTTCTTTGCAAAAAGTGGAGGGGGAAAGCAGGCATCAAAGTGCTCTCCCCCCTTGTTACTGTTAGGCATCCTTCAGTCTCGAGATACTATGGTAACGTGCTCTGTATGGAGGGCTTGGAACAGCATCTAGTGTGGTTGAGAAGGCCAATTCGAGAGTGACAATCCCTTCCACAATGAGGACAAATACAATCTGTCCCCTGTCCAGCTCTCTGATTTTGCTGCTTCCTGGACTGCCTCTCTACCTCGGCCTGCTGGACAAAGGTCTCTTCCAATTGGGAGAGGCCATAATGCACCGCCTGCCTCCAGGCTGAATGTTCCAATGTCAGGCTTTCCCATCCGTTGAGGTCCATTCCTAAGGCCTTCAGATCCCACTTGCAGATATCTTGGTATCGCAGCTGTGCTCTCCCTCTGAGGCAATTTCCCTGCACTAATTCTTCATACAGGAGATCTTTTGAAATCCGACCATCAGCCATTCTCACAACATGCCAAAGCCAATGTAGAAGTTGCTGTTTCAGTAATGTATACATGCTAAATATTCCAGCTCATTCTAGGACTACTCTATTGGGAACTTTGTCCTGCCAGGTGATACCAAAAATGCGTTGGAGACGCATATGGAACGTGTTCAGCTTCCTCTCCTGCCGTGCACAAAGGGTCCAGAACTCACTGAAGTACAGGAGTGTGCTCAGGACACAGGCTCTATAGACCTGGATCTTGGTATATGCTTTGGCTTCTTATTAAGTCATACTCTCTTTGTGAGTCTTGAGAACATGGCAGCTGCTTTGCCAATGTGTTTATCCAGCTCAACATCTAAGGACAGAGTGTCAGAGATCATTGAGCCGAGGTACACAAAGTCATGAACAACCTCCAATTCTTGCGTGAAGATGGTAATAGAGGGAGGTGAGTCCACGCCCTGGCCCATGACTTGTGCTTTCTTCAGGCTGATTGTTAGTCCACAGTCTTGGCAGGCCTTGCTAAAACGATTCATGAGTTGTTGGTACCTCCTGTTGCAGTTCAATAGGCATGCTTCAGCATGACAGCAAAAAAAGATCCCAAACAGGGTTGGCGCAAGGACACAGCCCTGTTTCACTCCGCTTCAGATGTCCTTGATACTTCTTTCCAAGCAGTGTGCTATACAGAAAAACTTACTGTCCGACCAGGTCTAAGTTCTGCTGAAGGTCTGACAGATGTCAAAGGGGTCTGATGTTGAGCAATCAAAAACTACAGTGCCCTTCATTCCCTCATGAAAGGACCTGATGATGTTAAGGAGTCGAGGTGGATATCCAATCTTGGGAAGTATTTTAAAAAGGCCATCCCTGCTATCCTGGAGTCTCTTCAGCACAACATGGGCCAGCAGCTTCCCTACAACACTGAGAAGAGAGATGCTACAGTAGTTATTGCAGTCACCCTGTCTCCTTTGTTCTTATACATTGTAACGATGTTGCATCTTTCACCTCCTGTGGTACTCCACCTTTGCTCCAGCAAAGACAAAAGACTTCATACAGTTCAGTGGTGATGATCTCTTTACAGCACTTCAACAGGGATGTTATCCTTTCCAAGTGCCTTTCCGGAGGCAAGGGAATCCAAGGCCACTTTTATTTCTGCTAAAGTTGGTTCGCTGTCCAACTCTTCTAAGACTCTCCCCCCCTTACTACCACGTATAAGATGACCATCAATTTTTCCTCTAATTATTTTAGGAAAAAGCGTCATTTTATATATGGAAAAATACAGTAATACTGTGCCCATGTATAAAACCTATTGAATGACACTGAATCAGACACAGTCTCTCTGCTTAACTTACCTCTCACCGTTGCTGTAGGCAAGAGCACAGAGACATGACTACAAATACAGTGGTGCCTCGACTTATGAACGTTCCAACTTTTGTGGCCGGAGCTAGTCATAAGTTATTATTATTATTATTTATTTAATTTATAAGCCGCCCAGAGACCTTTGGGTAGAGTGGGCGGCATATAAATTAAATAAACAACAACAACAACTTATGACCAGCTCCGGCTGCAAAATTGTGATTCGACTTGCGACCAGAGCTTTGAGTTACAACTGGAAAAAAGTGGGGGGAAAGGTGGGGAATTCAAATATACTAACCTTTGGTCACTGAAGCTACCAACATGAATTTGACCAAACTCTGGGAGGCAGTGGAAGACAGGAGGGCCTGGAGTGCTCTGGTCCATGGGGTCACAAAGAGTTGGGCATGACTTAATGACTAAACAACAACCATTGGTCAGCGAAGAGGCTGCTTCTTTTTAGCTCTTTCGCTCCAAGTTAAGTGTACGTCAGAGGCGGCTTCGGACTGCCTGGTGCTGCTTTCTGCTTGAGTGAGTACATACAGGGTTTTGCAGGGTGGGTCTGGGCTGGGGGGTTATGTTTCTTGCTGCAATGTTTGTGTGTGTGTGTGTGTGTGTGTGTGTGTGTTTTGGTGTCTGTCTTTTCAGCCCCAGCGCCTTCCGATGGGGCTTGCTGTGTTGTTTTTGTTTTGGTCACTATTATTTTTTCAGCCTCAGCGTGTTCTGATGGGGCTAGCTCCGTTTGTTTGGTGTTTTTTTTGGTGATATTTTCCCCCTGGCCTAAGTGAGTTCCAATGGGGCTTGCTGTGTTGTTTTTTGTTATTAATTTTTTTCCGGCCCCAGCATATTCCAATGGGGCTTGTTCTGTTTGTTTGTTTGTTTGTTTGGTGTAATTTTTTTTCCTGGCCGTAGCACATTTTGATGGTGTAATTTTTTTCCTGGCCGTAGCACATTTTGATGGGGCTTGCTCTGTTTGTTTTTATGTGTCTTTCTCTGTGTGTTTTCTGGACCCAGTGCATTCCGATGGGGCTTTTGTGTGTGTGTGTGTGCGCGTGTGTGTGTTGGCCCTGATGCGTTCCGATGGGGCTTGCATTGTTTTTCTGGTGATTTTTTTTCCTGGCCCGAACACGTTCCGATGGGGTTTGCAGTTGTTCTCCCCCCCCCAATCGGAACGAATTAATGGGGTTGCAACGCATTCCTATGAAAAACGGTGCTTCGACTTACAACCATTTCGAGTTATGACCATCATTGTAGAACGGATTAAGTTCGTAAGTCCAAGCACCACTGTATGCTAGCTTGACCTACTTAAATGAAAAGTGATACATACATGCCAAAAAGGGTGATTTGCCTTTTTCTAAAATTTAAACATGATTACAAATACTTCCCTTTTTCATCCCTCAGAAAAAGACAGAAATCTTATAAAATGTTCTTCATAATGTAATTATATAACTAATTTAGAGATATTTTCGGAACTGTAATTAAACATGACAGGGTATAATACACAATAGTATATCAACAGATATAATTGCAATCCACCTATCCAAGCTTAAGAGCTGTTCTTTGTGATTACTTTCTACATGGAAGTAATTTCTAAGTAGAAATTGATCACGATAATCGTCTTAGAGCTGTAGAGCAGGAAGGGACTCTATGGATCACTGAGTTCAGCCTCTGTCAAGGAGGCACAGTAGGCTTTCAACTCTCAACCACAGCCAAATACCCAAACCACTGAGCAACCCAGCAGTAATGCCTAAAAATTCCAAAAGAATTTAGTGACTAATATATTTCCAATTTCCAAGGCATTTTGCAGAATATCACAAATAACAGCATCAGAACACAATTTCAAACATTACTATATTGAAGTGTAAATTCCAGTGGCATGCTGTCTGCCTTAAATACTATCATAGGGAAACTAAAGTTGTGCTGGCAAGTTTCTACATTGGGAATAAAGTACAAAACAACAATTAAATTCTCAGAGCAAGCAAAGCTCATGATAATGAAACTACTTTAAAGTCATGGCAGCTGGTTATAGCTATTCCAACTAGATTAGCCATTTGAAGGAACTGGCTAATTCACAAACACACATTTTAGCCCTAGTTCGTACCACTTCCAGCTTAGTGCTACCACTCTAGCCAAGGGACAGTTTGGTGGGGGATGGGGAACTGATAAATAAACACAGCCGTTGATAAAACAGTGCACTTGAATTATGATTTCTGGGCTAGTAAAAGCTGAAAGTACTAGATGGCACATGATACTATTCCTATTAATCACATGTAAAGCATACAGTCTAGTGCTTATTAGTCAGTTTCTGTTCTTGTAAAATCAACAGGTGGATGTGACACAATGCTGGGGGACCCTGAAAGGCACTACTTCTGGCTAGTAACTTATATGTTGTTGTGCTGCCATTTGATTTTTTTCATTCTTTTAAGAAACAGCTTGTTATAAACATATATCCCACATCCAGTGCCTATAAAATTTCCCCAATATCATTTCACAGTGGATACTGGAAAGGGAAAAGAAAAACATTTCTATGTGCCTTTCAAGCCTAGCATTTCTTATCAACAAAAAATAGCAATGAAAAGGAAAGTACTGTAGAAGTAGTTAAGTCCTGTGGACATTATCTTTATCTCATAGCAGCCACCTTAGTTTTATGATTTTATTTGGTAAATATCATGAAGAAGACCTGAAGCTGAAAATGCTCCCAAAATAGTATAAGTATTTTCTTTAAAAAGAATAGAATAATTACACCAACAGTTACCACAGTGTAACATTTAAGAATTGGCTTACAAATTAGACCACACATTATACAAAACTGTCTGTTTCTCTTTTCCAGTTAAGAATTCTGCAGGCCTACTGAGCAGGATACAAATACAAAGACCAGATAGGCTGGATATAAAATAAATAAATATAATACAATACTTAAAAGATACCTCCCACTTGCAGATGGAAATATGAAATGCATACCTACCTTCTTTTTCTTCTTCACACATTTTTCTCTAGAAAGGATGCCATACTTCACATTCTCCGTAACCTCAAAATCTTGGTTATCAAGCAGGCGCACCTCACAGCTAAACAAGACACTACGCTTAGAGGCACTAAGGCCTATACAGGGTGGTCCTTTTAAGTCACATTTCCCTTTCTTTTCTGCAGTCTGAAATTGTGCTTTGAAATTAAAGGGGTTATAAGGATCCCCCAAATTAGAGAAAGAGTTCCATAATTTCAAGTTTTCTGATTCATCTACACTACCAGATTCCCATTCATCTTCCTCGCAGGAACTTTCAGACCAAGAGGAAGAATCTTCTATTTCCTCTGGCTCATTTGAGTCAGTGATAGGTTCTTTCTCAGGTGCACACCCAGAAGTCTGCACAGCTGCTGTGAAATTTCGAGGGTCATAAGGATCTAAGCTACAGAAAGAGTTCCACAGATGAATGCTTTCCCCATCCTGGCTGGCTGTATCGGACTCGGAGAGGGAGCCTTCACTGTCAAATCCATCATCATCTTCCTTGTCCTCATCCCAATCTTCCTCTCCCTCACTCTCCTCCCCGCTGCAAGCGCCCCCCAGAATGTAATCTATCAATTTGTTACTACACACAGGTCTGGCCTCCACAGACAGGTCTTCCTCTATATCAGAGTCTTCACTGGTACTGGATCTGACATCAGTGGATCCCTCCTCACAGAGATCCCCCCTCTCATGATATCCACACGGTTTGCTGTGGTCTTGGAGTTCTTGTGCTTCCTCGCGACATGCCGCAGTGTCTTTCGGGGCCCAGGAATCCCGTGGCTGTTCCTCTACCTCCAAACTGTGGTACCCACAATCGGGATCCGGCACCTCAAGGTCAGTCTGGGTCTCTTGGCGATGGACCTGCTGCAAGATCTCCGGAAGCTTGGAAGGCATACACGGAACCTCGGACAGTTCTTCCCAGGAGGCAGTCAAGGGCCCAGAGAGCGAGCTTTTATCGGCACCGGTTAGCACGGAGGAGGGGGGAGAGGAGGAGACGAAGCGCAGCTGGTGCTGGACGGCAAGAAGCGGAGCCAGGCCGGGAGCTCCCCACACTGGCACGGAAGACTCTGGCCCGCTGACATGGGCCTCGGACTGAAGCCAAAAGAGAGGAATGACCGGGCTGGGCAAGAGGCGCTGCAACAGCTGCGAGAGGAGCCGCAGCAACGAAAACGGGGCGTCGGCCTGGCCCTGAGGCAACGAGGGCGGGCAAGCGCCGAAGCGAGAGGCTCCTTGCTCCCGCTCTCTCCTCGGCTCCATGACGGGTGGCCTGGAGTCTTACCTCAGCGCTGCTGCGCCATGGGCCTCGGCCGCTTCTTTCGGCCGGCGAAGGCTGGGAGATTCCGAAGGACGCGGTGGCCTCTTCCCGGGCGGGACCGCGCCATGTTCCTAGCGAAGGCTGAGGGCCTATTCGAAACTCGGGCACGGCAGTTGGCTGGGCTAAGCGAGGGAGAAACAAAATGGCGGGGGCCGCCGCAGAAGAGCTCAGCGGTGAAGCCGTTTGGGCGGGAGACCCCGTTGACCAGCGGGCAAACACGTACGCACGCGCTCTCTTCGGTCCCGACGGCGGCGAATAAGGGAAACAGCCAAAAAAGGAAAGCGCGCCCTCCTGAGCGGTCTTTCCAGTGACAGCCGGGCTGCCGCGAGGACTCGGCTCGCGATTGGTTGTTCTCTCAGGCGGAGCCCCGCCTTCCCCGAGAGAGGACTTTGGTATCAGGGCGGGGCTGCATGACAGCGATTGCATCAGCCAGGTTGCTTGAGGCGAGCACGGGCGCTTATTAAATTTACAATGCTGTCATTTTAGAGAAGTGTTTTACAACCAGAAGGAATTAGGAAAAGTCCGTATGGTTCAGGATTACTCAAATGCAAGAGTTACGTGGTACCTTTACTGAAGCACTTTAAAAATCATACAAATTGCAAGCTTTCGTGGGTAATTCCTCAGATTGTACTGTATATCCCCTTTTTCTGGATAGTGCAACCAGAGGTCTTAAGTAAAACAGGAGTTCACACCTGTTGGTGTAAAGCTTGTTCGTGTTTTCTGTTGATGAGAGCGGGGAATTCTTATGTAATAAGAAATAATAATTTTTAAAAATTCAGAGTTATAGGTATACTCATCAGATCACTACAATCAAATATTTAAAGTTCTGTTTGGAAAAAGGGGGTTGACTGCCCCTTCTTCCATAAATAAATATATGGATATTAAAGGTGAACATACTGCCTCTTGATGTAGCCAAAAAAAGTTATCCAGGCAGGACATATTGGTGGGAACCTCAAGATTTGCAAAAGAATTATACCTAGATCTTCATTTATGTAAGATGATGAATTAAAGAAAAACCAGAGTGGGAAGAAGAAGCCACTGCAGTCAGGAAATGCTCCACCTAGTAATGCGTTTTCCAAATTTCAAAGCATTCCATTTTAGGATTGTTGTTCAGCCTCCCTTTTACTAATAGCTGCTGCTGAGCAGCCCTCTTCTGGCCCATTTTTCCTCATTTACTTGCATATACAAACAGGATAAGTCTTCATGAAGCAATGTGGAATGTGTTGAAAGGTCCTCCATTTGTGGTCACAGCACAAAGGTGAGGTTGCTAAGCAAACAGTGATAAGGTGGTAACCATGGGATCAAAAGTCAGCAACTGAAATCCTACGTTTAGGGAACAGATCAAAAGTTCCTCTAATCCAGCTTCAGTTTCCATCTGCTTGTGCCTAGAAAACTGCAAAAGTATGACTATGCTACCCCATTTGTTCTATCTGGGATTAAAGACATATTAAGATTGGCTGTGTTGTTTTTAGCAGTTATTAATATGAGAGCTAGGGCAGGGGTAGAGGACCTATGACTCTCCAGGTGTTGTAGGGTTTCTTTCAACCTCTATCAGCTCCAGTCAGTAAGGGCTGCAGGTGATGAAAGTTCAACAGCATTTGGAAGGTCACATACATGTTACTTATCTCTGCCAAAGGTGAAATCATAGATCTGTGAGGGATCCCAAGGGTAACTAAGTTGAACTCCTGGACAAAACAGAAAATCCACAGCTTTCCATACAATCTCTTTAAAATACCTCTGGTGCAGGAAAAAAAGCCACCATCTTCCAAGATAATCCATTCTACTGTGGAACAGCTCTAGAAAACAACTTCTGATCTAATCTATTCCATGCTCACTCTGAAACAGGGTATGTAGGCATCCTTCAGTCTCAAGAGTAACGTGCTCTGTATGGAGGGCTTGGAACAGCATCTACTGTGGCTGAGAAGGCCAACTTGAGAGTGACAATCCCTTCCACACTGAAGACAAATACCATCCTTGCAAATCAAGTCAAAGGCCTTTGTAAGATCTATGAAGGCCACAAGGAGAGGCTGTCATTGTTCCCTATATTTCTCCTGCAACTATCTGAAGGAAAATACCATGTCAATGGTGGATCTGTTAGCTCAAAATCCACACTGTGATTCTGGATAGACTCTGTCTGCAAGCACCTGGAGCCACTTCAGTGCAACATGGGCAAGCAGCTTCCCTACAACACTGAGAAGAGAGATCCCATGGTAGTTACTGCAGTCACCCCTGTCGCCTTTGTTCTTGTGCAATGTGATGATGTTTGCATCCTTCATGTCCTGTGGTACTCCACCTTCCTTCCAGTAAAGACAAAAGATTTCATACAGCTCAGTGATGATGGTCTCTTTGCAGCACTTTAACAGGGATGTTATCCTTCCCAGGTGCCTTGCCAGAGGCGAGGGAATCCCATTATAATGTTTGATACCATTATACATTCCCTTGATGTTACCTGTGTCCGCTGCTATCTGTATCTGAGAGCAGAGCTGAAGCCAATAATCATTAGAACATCTCCTGGCAGCCTGTTGGACTTGGCTACCAGCAACTCAAAGAACCTGCAAGTTGTACTCACTAGGACAGGCTTTGTATGCTGCTAGCGCTCTCCTCTTATCCTTGATGGCTGGCATCAACTTCTCTGAATGGGCTTTGAACCAGTCTGCCATCTTTTTGCCAAATATGGACAAGGCGGTGTTATAAGCAGCATTATTGAAATGTTCCCATCATTCAGGTGCATTTGTACTAGCAGGACCTGGAAGAGTTTCCTCAAGCGCTTGAGCAAATTCCTCCACTTTTCTCTGATTGTGAGTCTTCCTGATGTCAATGCGTGGTCTTCCTTTTTCGTGTGATACAATCTCTTTATTCGCAGTTTTATTCTGCTACACACCTGGGAGTGATCACTATCACAATCAACACTCTGATAACTGTGTGTAATCATTATACTAGTATTACGGAGGATGATACTGAGACTCAAAAAACTACTAGTGCCTAACTATACCGATTAATGTGCTACTTTGGGTAGTATGCTACCAATAATACCTAATTACCTGACTGCTTTATCTATTCTACTTGCTCTAGATTCATAATTGTTTTCCTTTTGTGACAAGACAGTGATAAAGTAGGTGTCCAGTAGTTCTGTCTTCTCTGGTATTTCTCTATTCTCTCCACATAACAGGCCTACTATTTCCTTGCTCTTTCTCTTGTTCTGAACACAGTGGGATTTTTAAAAATTTTAAATTCCTCTTTGAAGTTCAAACTATAGCTTCTCTGACCACCCTACAAATATTGGTAATTCATTTATACTCTTCCTTGGCAATTTGCCCCTCTTTCCATTTCCTATACCTGTCTCTTTTAAATATTAGCTCAGCTGAAAGCACCTTATGCAGTCACCACAATTTCTTCAGATGTTTCCCAGTTTTCTTTCTTATAGGGATTGCTTGTAAATGTGCTTTGAGTTTCTCATGGCAGAAAATCTCATCTTATTCTTCATGCACTCCCTTTTCTTTCAGTATTTCTGATCAAGGATCTCAGTATTTTCTTAAACTTATTGAAATCAGCTTTTTAAAAAGTTGAGTATAGTTTACACTAGTTTCTGCTTTCAGCATAACACATCCCAAGAGGGCATGGTCAATTCCCCCTGAGGTTCTCACTATTTCTGCATTGCTGGCTAGTTCTTCTCTTTGGGAGAACCAGATCTGGAATAGCTGATCCTCTTGTCACTTCCTCCAACTTCTGGAAGATGACTCCTGGAAGACAAATGTTTTAAGGCTATCATCCTATGCATGCTCATGGGAGAATAAACTTCACTGGATACCATGGGACATACATAAACACATAAACATACATGGGTCCAGACTGTACACTAGCAATCAAAAGCAAACATTTCCAGCAGGATAGCTATGTTAGTCTAGAGTGACAAAAACAAAAGTCTTCCGTCATCTTTAAGACTATGTGGTTTTATATTCCCAAGAATTAAGTTTCACTGAACCTTTGAGTTAAAAAGAGAATAATAAAAAGGCAGAAATAACATTTTAAGTAACATTCCTCACTCATTAGAATTGTAATGTAATGTGTTCAGCAGACTTCATAATCATAACTGTTTATTATATGTAAATTAATAATAATTAAACTGATAACATGCAGTCTATTAACTCTCTTGCGGATGAAAGTACAGAGACAGAGAAGCAAAACAAAAAATGTGGGCTTATTCCCTATCATCTTGTCACTGGTTTATTTTTCACTTCTTCATTCCCTCATTTAAGTTTATCTTTTCTTAGTACATTGCTGCTACTCTACCTAGAAGCTTGTCCCTTGGTATCTTGTCTTGTCACGCGGCAGTTATACTTTCCATATTGGACTAAGATGTCTGTATCTTTTACAAGTTCTGTACAAATTTTAGTTGAGGTCAGGAAATCTGTTTATATATCCACTACAATACTCATTTTTAAACTAGGAGTATGTGTGCAATATCTCAAGGACAAAATATATACATATTCATATATACAAACATCTACATGTATATCTACATACACAGTGTTACAGACAGTATGTATTTATAGGTTACTTTTGCACCAAATCCTTTCAAGTAAGCATCAAAGTCCAGGGAGGTTTGGCTTTTTGATCTCGTACTTGGGTTGCTAAAAAAAGTCAAGCATACCCCTATATCCTACTTTGGAATGTTAACAGTGCCATAGTGAAGCCAGTAAGATTTTCTTTTAGTAGATATGTATGAACTGAACTATTAAAAATGTACTGAAAATATCCTTGAAGCATTTGTCTATTTTCACCATAGTTCCTGAATCAGCTATTTTATTTTTGTGAGGTTTGGTAAGGATTTTTTTCCCCTGCAACTATATTAAATTATCCTAAATGAAATGCTGCCAATTTCTTTTCTTTTTAACACACGTCATTGTCACAGCATTCCTTACCATACACAAGGCATGCCATCCTATTTAATAATTAGTGCTGCTTTACATTTGAAGCTCATGTAATCAAGACATTCCATCCAGTCATTATAATATCTGCTGCCATTCTGCTTATGTAGTTGTTAATGCTCTTCCAGAGCAAACCTGGTCCTGCTTCATCACAAAGAAGAGTGCTGCTTACCAAGATTCATATACAGACCTTACTGTGGAAAATTCACATTAAAAAAACCTCCCTACAAAATCATGGAAATGCTTTACAAAATACTTTGAAATCCACTTCCTTGATATATCTTTATTGCTGGAGCTATTCTTTGTTTAATATTTGAGAGGCAAATAAAAATGTTCTATAGGGAACCTCTAATGCAGAAATGAACAGCAAAATGAAAGTGGAACAGTGCTATACTCTGAATAAATTCCAGGAAAATAATAAAATATACCCTCAAGAGGAAACACCAAAGTCACAGTGAAGTGGGGAAATGTCATGGAAAGTTCCTGGATCAAGCCTTAAGTCCTAAGCAGTGAAACAAGCAGTGCAGAATTTTACCCTTTTATAGGAATGTTTGCCCCACTTGGAGGAGGCAACATGCTGGTCACATGTGCAGTGAAACAGTAATATGGGGCTAATGCAGTTTGAAGTATTTGCAGAAACAGAGTCTAAGTAAAGATGGCTCACTTAAACACTATGGATTTTAGCACTTTTCACACATCTTGTTTAAGAACAAGCTTACTTTCATGACATCTATTAGGTACATCATTGTGAAGGGTTTTTTATAGAGACAAATACTGTTTACCTTGAACAGTGTAATAAACAGACATTCAACAGGTGTATCTTTTATTTGCATCTTCCTCCTATACCAAGGGATGGGCAAAAGTGCAACATCTTCAGATGTTGCTAAATTACAACTCCTATTAGCCCTAGCTGTCACAGCCTATAGTAAGGAATGCACACCACAGCTTGTATAAAGGTAATTAGCATGTAGTCTAACATTAGCATGTAGTTTCCCCCCACAAAACAGGACAGGAAGAAGGTATTTCACCACTGGTTGATTGCTTGTCTCATGGTCTGCTGCAATAGCTATGCAATCTGCACTGAGGATGTTACTATGCTATTTAGTAGTTAAATTAACAAGTCATGGGTGTTGTATAGGTCATAATTATCATTGCACATTCCTACAATACATAACAAGTCAAAGAAGCATGTAATTGGAAAAGTGAGGATCATTTTTGATGTCACAGTGACACCAGCCTATTTGCTTAGCAAAAGCTAATGCTGAGAACAGCTGAGAAGCTACTAAGTCTGAAGGAATCTGGTAAAACACGCAGTCAGGCTGTGGTTCTTAAAAACCATGTCAGTTGGATATATGGAGAAAATAATGCACTGGGATTTTCCTTCCAAAAGTAGTGATTGCAGCTGATGTGGCAAGTTCCATAAGGAAGCAAAATTTCCATTCCTTTAATGGTTGTATAGAAGGAATGTTTCAGTGTCAAGTATGAATGTTGCTCTTTCGGTGCAATTAATAAAGACACCGTATATTAGAACAGGGACCAGAGTTTTATTTATTTATAGGGCAAAATGAGTCAGTCCTAGCAGTTCACTGTTACCATTCCCCATGAGTATTTTTAATGCATACAGGTACACAGCTAGTAGACAAGCTGATAATACCGGTTTTTGTATGAAAATTAGTAAAGGGTAGGTCTGGATCTCAAGTGCATAAGTGAGTGAAGATTTCCCAGTATGAAACTTGAAATGAGAGTACCTACAAAGATGAGGAAGCCAACTCCTCCTTATATACCCTGTTTCCAATAACCTTCTTCCTTCCAGCAGATAATCTGTAAAAAAAACTTGTGAGCAAACCTGGGGCAAAGCCAAACTAGGAAGAATTGTTATTTCAGAGGTAAGGGCAAAGCTAAGAGAACCACATTGCCACAGGGACTTACATCAGTTTTGCTTTCTGTAAATTGGCCTAGAGAACAAGCATGTTATCTTTAGCTTCCATCCCACAAAAAAGAGTAAACTGGTTGTACGTATTTTTCGCACCATAAGACGCACTTTCCCCCCACAAAACAGGGGGGTGAAAAGTCTGTGTGTCTTATGGAGCGAAGAAAACATTATATTTTCCTGTTCTCTTCTCCTAAAAAATTGGTGCGTCTTGTTCCTCAAATATTAAGATTAGATTATGGAAGAAGAATCAAGGCCAAATGAGACATTTCTATGATATGCTCTCTTGCTGTTACTTAGCCAAAATGCAGCACAGCCATTCTTTTTTCGAGAGTATCAGAATTTACAGTTACAATGCATCTCTATTAAAATACAATACTTGCTCTGGTCCTACTTGTTACAGAAGAGTAGACATCAAAACTTCCATTGAATTCCATTTCCTTTTATTTATTTTTAAGCAATGCCACCATTTTACAACCAAGAAAAATTCAGGTATCCTTATAAGGTGACATCTCTACCTTGCTTTCTATGGGACAAATGACATAACTAAAGAACACAGCCAAGGTCCTCTCATGTAGTTGCCTCTCTGGAATCCGCCTGCAGCATTCTGCAGATTAACAATATGCCCACATTCAGATAAGCCTCAGTCAAGAGAGGGGTGGGGAAAAATAGTCCCTCCCCCAACTTAACTTATTTTTTAATTCATAGATAAATAGTTCTTTTTTTAAAAAAAAGTTATGTTCATAGTTTTGATCCTGAGAAACATTCCATCTGTTAGGGAGTTCCCACTGTAAACATAACAGCTCAGCAAAGGCTACAAAAGGAAGGCTTTGAGGCTACGGGCTAGACCCAAATTTGCAAGGCTCTTGCCTAGGCGTGTGGAAAGACTTCCCCACTTGCTATTTTGAAGTATTTTATTCAAGGAGGCAAATGGCAATTCTCAAATAGGACATCCTGTTAAAAATTTTAAAAAAACAACAACGAGAAGAAGGACAACAACAATCTGGTCTTTATATAACTGTAAATAGAAAAAGTTTCAAAAGTGGGCAATTTCTCCACCCCCATGGTGTTTTCTGCAAAGTTTTACTTCTCAAAAAAGGGACTGGAGAGAAATAGCTCGTGGCCACCTGCTCTACAGGAGGTGTTGCAATGAAGATGGTGTATACAAGGACTTCAAGACATCATTGATGCTTAATGACAAATGCCATGTTGGGCTTTTAATCAGCTGCTCAGCAAGCATGCCTTTAATCCTTACCTCGCATCCACCACTTTGGAAGTAAAGCCTATGGTGGTATTGAAAAAAGTCATATGTAATGGCTTTAAGATTGCCTAATTTTATCACCTACATTTTAGGTAATGGGACTTAGGTAACCTTGAAAGAAATTACCACACACAGGAGACTGGCTGCCACAAATAATGTTTGTCTAATTCACAGAATCAGTTCCCCAAAGTCATAGTTTAGGACAGATGAGGCCACTGCCTCTCTCCATGATAACTTCTCTGCTTCCAAGACTTAGCACAACTTATTCCATCAGATTCAGCTGTTCAGAGTAGCCAGAAGAATTTTAGAAAGATGAAATTCAGGTCCTCAAGCAAGGAAGGTGGAAAAAAAATACACATCTCTCATACAATTGCTGTGGTCAAGGCCTTGTGGATGTTTGCAGTCAAGAAGAAATACTGTTGCCTTCTGCCTTCCTCAGACATGTCCAGCTGTTCGTTCAAGACGGCATGCCTTGTAGATTACATTTTCCTAGCAGGAAATCAGGAATTGTAAGCACTACACATATACAAGTTACATAGCTCTCCTTTGGAAGCAAATTCTCCAAGATGGCTTGAGTTGGAGCACAGGAGCTCCTATCCCAGAGATAAAGAGTTAACCCATCATTTACACTCACCCCGTATGTCTCTCTCTCTTCCCCCCCCCGAGTTCCTAGGCAAATGTTTCTTTAAAAAAAAAACACCCTTGAAAAAGTCCAGTGAGAACCCTATTGATAACATATTCCACCTTACAAAGTTCCTTCTTAGTCCAGGATCCATCCTATGTTCTGTGTGGATTCAAATTGCTTGATGAATTTTTTAAAAAAATTAAAAATATCCTCCAAGTGGTGTACGTGAACATCCCCCCTCCCACTATAAGTCGTTGCTCCCTTGACACAAGGTAAATGTATTTTTAAAAGTACATCTACGGCAGTCATTTTAAGTCATAAAATAATTCCTTAGCATGACTCAACCCCAAAATGCTCACTCTCCACAGGAAATTAACCTTCATTTGCAGGAAAAAAAACAAGTCCATCCTTCTTATTTGCAAGAAACTACATCCTTTCAGATATACCAGAATACAACTCCTGGAACTTGCACCAATTCCCAGGGACTCCCATGGGGGCAGAGTGGTTCCAAAGACACTGTGACCGCCTTGTTGCTCCTCACATGGTCCCATGGCTCCTAGAGCCCAATTTAAACCAGCCCATCTTCTCCCGTGTCAGATCCAGGTCCCGTAGTCTGATAATGACCTCCCCGAGGAGGATGTTTTCCCAAAAGCCTTCTTCGCTCAGAACACTCAAATGTAGCTCTCGCTGGTGAAGGTCTCCTTTTGGAATCCCATCATAGATGAGCTGCAAGATACAGAAAATTTTGGGATGTAAGCCAACACACTCACCCTTTCTCCTTAAAAGACCAGAAGGAGCTTTTTAGCACAGCATGGGTACCGTAGTTTCTGGTCTTCAAAGCAAAGCAAAGCATGCTGTTTATACACTGCCCCATGGTGCTTAAAGCACTCAGATGGCTTACAATTTAATAATGCAGGCTACATGTTGCCCCCCCCCACAACAAACTGTGTCCTCAATTTACCCACCTTGGAAGGAAGAAAGCCTAAGTCAACTTGAGCTGGCTACCTGGGACTGAACCTGGGTCATGAACAGAGTTTTGGCTGTAGTATTGTAGTTTAATGACTGTGTCACGAGGATGGATATAGGAAGTCCCTTATGCATGTATATTGTAACACAGACAGCATGTTCTGTGTAGCATGGTATGGCCAAGTAGGGTTGCATGTGCCATAGCACATCCGGAACAGTGGTTATTCAACAACAGTTGACAGAAATCTTTACAGAAACTCATATGCTAAAGTCTTGAAACAGCTTTGAAAAAGACTTTAATGGCTGCCTGTAGCATATGTGTCATGCTGCAGCTCACAGCAATGTTAAGTAGGTTTCAAGAACTATGGAGAATTTGCGTAAATATAATCTTCTGTAAGATCATACCATATTTATTCAATATACATTGGGATCTCTGTAGTGGTTGCATCTTTGACTATACATTGTGTCTTTAAAAGGTTATATGCTGTTGTTTGATAACAGCTGTTCTTGGATTTCTATGGCAAATGCAATACTGCTAGCTTTGAACACCTGTTTGAGTTTCTTTCTGCGGTGTTTAGATTTTTCCTGCAACTACTCTGTCCCTTCACCGGTGGTCCAACACAAATTAAGTAGGTGAGGTTACTCCACAAGACTTCATCTCTTTTTGTGAAGAAAGCATCACTTCCTTGATTCATCAGGATGCTATTAAAAGTATGGAAGAAAGATAACTAAACAGATGACAGCCATATTCCCATCAGTTCCCACATTTCAGTAATAGTGGGTGACACTTTACCTTCTTCTATGAACCTCTCCTCTATGATCTGCATCAGATCTAAATGAGGTTTCCTGAAACTGCTTTCCCAGATCATCTCCTACTGGAGGGAGCTATGAATCAGCTGAGAGGATCCTCAAGGATCCTCCTCAACATAAGAGGATCCTGGGTGTGCCTGTCTATTCATGGAGTAAGACTATAAGAAACTGCCTTATGCTGAGTCAGTCAAATCATGAGTCCATCTAACTTGGCATTGTGTATATTGGGAGCCAGCAAACCTCCCAGTTCCTTTTATCCAAGGCTGGGCAATTGTGGGCTTCCAGATGCCATCAGAATGCAATTCCCATTTACCCTTATTATTCACTTTGATAATTCAAAGTGAACTGCAGGCCAGCAAAATTTAGAGGACCACAGTTAACCATCTTATCCTAATCCACTGTGGCTCTCATCTATATTGTATCGTAGTCCAGGCCTGGGCAACTTCCAGGGACTGCATAAGCCCACAACTGGATCTTGGCAGGCACACTCATCCAGAGGTTCCATCTATTTGTTTGAAAAACAAATTCTAAAAAGCTCACTTAAGCCCACTAGTGGACAAGAATGGTAATTTCATAGTTTCTTTTCATTGCTTTGATCTGATTTAGGAAAAACCTGACTGAAAATCAGTCCTGGATTAGGAAAAAAGATCTTCTGGGCCTAAACCAACTCAGAAAAATTACCATCCACATTCCCAGAGAGGGTTAAGGTTTTTTGTTTCTGTTTTTTTTTTAAGTATACAAGCCACATCTCTTTCAAGAGGCTTTTGAAGGCAGCCTCTTTTGAAGTTATTCGCCTCTGTACAGTGCTGCTCTGTAACATTGCACCATTAGGGTATTGTGTTGGTCTATTTTTTGTTTTCTGGTGTGTGTGTTCTCTTTTTCATTTAATTGTATTATATCTCTGGTTTTATATGTACATTGCCCAGAATAGTGCTGTTTGCTTCGTTTAACGTTTTTTTCGCTTAACGTTTATTTTTTCAGAGGCAGATTGTGCTTCGTATAACGTTTTTCCCTATGGGCAATTTTCGCATAGCGTTTTTGGGACCATGCTTCACTTAACGTTTTTTGTTTTAGGTCCCCTGCTTCGCTTAACGTTTTTTTTGTTTTCAATTTAAAAAGTGTCTTAGAAGGGTCCAAAACAGTTCTAAATGCTTGGATTCGTTAGAGGACCCCTTAAGTCATGTGCAAACCTGATTTGGCTTTGATCTGACGTTTCGTTAATTTTTTGTGAATTTTTGTTTTTTGGCCCATAGGAACCAATGGACCTGTCAAAATCTGACAGCTCCATGCTTTCCTATGGGGGAGAAAACAATTTACAAAAAATTAACGAAAGTTCAGATCAAAGCCAAATCAGGTTTGCACACAACTTAGGGGGTCCTCTAACGAACCCAAGAATTTAGAACAGTTGCTGAGTCTTCATTAATTTTTTGTGAATTTTTTCTTCCCCCATAGGAAATAATGGAGCTGTCAGATTTTGACAGCTGTCAAAAGTTGGGGGAAAAAAATTCACCATTAATTAACGAAAAGTCAGATCAAAGCCAAATTAACTTTTGCATCCGTTTTAGAGGGTGCAGAAGCTAATCCAAGCATTTAAAACCATTTTTGACCCTTTTATGACACACTTAATTTTGCAAAAATTGACTTCGCAAAGCCATTGAAACCTATTGAGTCAGCTACAATACATTCCAATGGAGGATACATTGTATCGTTTAACGATGTTTCCTATGGGTTTTTTCGCTTAAGGACGGCAATCCGTGCCTATTGGAACGGATTAACCGGTTTCCAATGCATCTCTATGGGAAATGGTGTTTCGCATAAAGTTTTTTTCGCATAAGGTTTTTTTTTTTGGAACCAATTAAAAACGTTATGCGAGGCACCACTGTACATTGCCCAGAATAGTGCTGTGCACTAATGGGGTGGTGTGTGTGTGTGTGTGTGTGTGTGTGTGTGTGTGTGTGTAAACAAACAAACAGACAAACAAGTCTGGGGGGCAGGGGGTTCCTGTGGATAAGCTATAATTGGGCCTTTAGGAGCTGCATGTGGTCTACAGACTTCCCGTTGTCTGTTTGCGCTGTTGTTATTCAGTGGGAGATGACTACATGAAGTCTATCACACCAGGGTGAAAATTCAAGTGGGCACAGCCACATTTTGCCTGAGTAGAGAGTTCTGTATGAGCCACCATTTACAGACAGGCTCTCTGTCACCTGGAGCTAAATACTACCCTTCTCTTGTTAAAGCAAATATAAATACAAGCATAATGTGAGCACGAACCCTCTCATCACATTTGCATGACAGAACCTTCACCTCAGTTCACAGAAATTCTGATTCCTGAAGGCTGTAGATTGCTGGATGCTGCAGGGAAGCATTGGCTTATTTTCTCACAAATTAGATATGCTCCGTGAGCACTATTCTCTTGTGAGCAAACCAGCTGAACATTAATATAAAGCAAAACTTTTTATATTAATATGTTCTTAATACAATAGGCTACAGAAGAAGGCAAGCAGATGAGGTCCTCCTCCATATATCTAATATCTGCCAATCCACAATTTCATCTGTTCCAATTCCTGCTTTCATTTAGTACACAGATGGGCAATTTTGTGGCACCCCAGATATTATTGGATTGCAATTCTTATGTTCCATTACCATTAACTTAACGTGATTGGGACTGATGAGAGGGGCAGTCCAACAATATATAGAAAGCCAAAAGTTGTCTGCCCTGGTTTAGTACATCTATATTTATCCTATGTCTCATCCCATTAAGGTAAGATTTGCAGGAACATACCATTTCATTGTAAGTCGGGTTGCAAGTTTTTCGAGCTACTTTTGTTTTCCTCTTGGTGGTTTTCTGGGGATCGGGCAGAAGATAGATCTTAACGTAAGGGTCAGGGTCACTACCATCCTGAATAGGTTGCTGAGAGAAAGAGAGAGAGAACATCACCACAGCTGACAGATGAGGTTGCAGAGGTTTGAAAAACATTTGACTTTCAGCCACCATTGAGAAAGCCACCAAGCAGAACACTTACCAGACCTCGGATGTGCATCACCATGATAAAAAGCTTGTTGTTTTTGTAGGATACTGACAGCTTTACTTCCCCACCCACCTTGCCAACTGGTTGGGACCATGTTGCATCTAGGAAAAAGAAATAGCAGTGTTGTCACGTGGAACAAACAACCCAAAATTCTCAGGACAGTTCTGTACCTGTCCATAAAAAGCTAATGTTTTTAATTTAAATGTAAACAATACTGGGCAGAGGGATTTATGCTGGCATAAATGTAACTGTTGAAACTGTGGGAGCAGTTAGATTAAGAAATCTAATTGGGGTTTAGCAAGTGTAGGGGGAAAGGGATAAAAGTGCTGCAGAATCGCTTTGATCCCTGATTTCCCCTCCACTTGTTTTTGTTCTCTCCGCAGCTTACTTCCGTGTATAAGACGACCCTCAATTTTTAGTCTAAAGATTTTAGACAAAAGTATAGTCTTATACACGGAAAATGCGGGAAGTTAAAATAAATAAATAAATAAATGACCAGGAATGTGGGGGGCAACTTATTAAGTAACACCAGCTTACCACCATGAATTACACAGTTACATTTCCACCAGAGTAAACCCCCAATATGATTATGGTCATTGATGCCAAAAGAGTACAGTGGACCCTCAACTTACAGACTGCTCGACTTACAGACTTTTCGAGTTACAGACTTCTCTGTCTGCAAAATTTAGATTCGACTTGCAGCCGGAGAATCGACCTACAGACCAGAAAAAACCCAAAATGGAACAAAAATGGAACAAAAACTGCCAGTTATGGGATTAATTGGTTTTCAATGCATTGTAGATCAATACTCGACCTACAGACTTTTCGACTTGCAGCCACTGTTCCAATACGGATTAATTACGTAAGTAGAGGGTCCACTGTACAGTGTAATTCCCCTATCAAGGTTTATCTCTATTTTAACCATCATATTTCCATTGGGGCACCTTGGATGTGTAACATATTTTATAAATTGTCCTATAACATTGTTCCAATCTGTAAGTCAGCTCCTGATAATTTACATTAACATCTGAACACATTCACATTAGGAGGAAGCAACAGACTTTCTTATGCTGACTAGCTCTTTTATCCTATTTTCCAAAACCGTATTTATTATCATCTTCATCCCAAGGCTGTTTGCACATGGTCATATTCTGTACAGAAAAACTGAAGCAAATGATCCTTACTGCTTGCATTCTTCATATTATTTACCTGCAGGCTTTGGAACTGGGTTGGTGCCTGAAGCAACTTCATCCCTTGGAAGTGGGTGGAAAAAGGTATATACCAGGTCACACTACAAGAAAAATATATCACAGCATTAAGACATAGTTTTAATATGCCAATATCTGGCAAACACCTTCTGCACTTTGACAGAATAAAGGGAGTCTGATTGGGTTTATACTACAGCCAGAATCCTACTGGTGTTTGCATAAAGTCTGTGTAACTTGATTTATCTAACTACAACTAATTAATGAGGTGCTGGGTTGTGTCTCAGCCACATTGCTGCTCATATCCCTGATTGCTCAAAGAGATGTGTGCTGGTAGCTGTCAATTTGCAGTAATTAGCTTTGTTAGGTTATGCAAACTTTACATAAATACCAATAGGATTCCATACTATGTGTGCGATCTAAATATAGTAATTAACTCTCATAATCAGCTAATTGTTTCTTGAGGCCTGCACTCCAAAGAGCCCCAAAGCTTCTTATAATTGACAATGGTCATATATTTTAATTTCATACAAACACATAGGTATGATATGTAACTTCTTTCAAATGGATGGAAGAACTAGAACACAGAACAAGCAATCCAATCTGCTTATCTAAGTGGAGTGTAGATGACATCTTTAATTCTGTTGCCCTGAGTTTGGTACCCCAAACTTATAGCCATTAAGAATATCCTCCTGACTGCGTTCATGTAGTGGTTTAAGAAAATCCAAGGTGTTGTAGCTAGGCAAGGAAGCAACATGCTGCTCACATTTCTACAATCATCAATGAAACTTGCTAAAGCAGAAAGGCAGAAGTGTTTGCAGAAGAATCCAGGAGCAGACTGTGCATGGCATCTCAGAACAGTCTTGATGAGCCTCTGTCTGCCAATAATCAGTCTCAACAGATGCATCCTTCCCCCCCTCACACACACACAAATTACCTCAGCCACATCAGAGGCCGCGTGGATCAGATGCCAGATGTATCTATTCAACTCCTCTTTCCTCCTCTCAGCCACTGCCTCTCCTCGCGACCGTCCAATCACAAACCTGCTGGGAAAGCTGGGATATTGCAAGGTGGATGATGGGGAAGAGGAAGAGAGTCATTTAGGGACGGATCCTAACCATCAAGAGAAGCACAAACTCAAATGAAGCAGGGGGACTCTCAAACTTTCTTGTTGCTTTTAGGAAATCCTAAAAGGACTACTTGTACCACACTGTAGTGGCTGTCAGATGGAAAAGCTCTTGGGCTGTCTGCGTTTCAGGGATGAAACTTCTAACTAATCTTTGAAGAGGTAGCTGTGCTAGTGTGTGCAAGCATATCAGGTAAACTCCAAAGAAACAAAACAAAGTTAAAATATAATGGTCTTTAAGGTGATTCATGTTTTTGTCTTTTTTTTAAATTCATTTTGTTTCTTTGGATTTTGCTCATATTAAAATATAATAGTCTTTAAGGTGACACCTGTTTTTGTCTTTTTTGTTTTGTTTTGTTTCTTTAGATTTTGCCTAATTCATCTTGTGTCACACAGAACACACTCATATACAATAGTCATGATTTATGCAAACACAGTATTCATTAGCAATTTGCTTTAAGACATCTACCTTTTCTGAGAAAATGCAGAGTTTATCTGCACAGCAAGAGCATACACCATGTACTGAAACATGCCCTTCATCTATATTCAAATTTGGAAAGCTAGTAACTGTCTTTTTTTATTTTTTTATTTTTTGCATTAATTCACTGCAGATTAATACCTTCTTCTTCATTGTCCTGTTCTGTTTTTAAGGTCTTCCAAAGATACACTCAGAGTTACTTCATGTGGATAAGGCCTATTGCATTTTGATCCCCATACTATGAAATGCCCTTCCAGCTGAGATTAGACATGCACTTTCATTACTTTGTTTTCTTCTTTGCCAAAGCCTTTTCTTTTCAGAAAATTCCAAGTTTAATTGATATTTGGCTTTATTATATTTTTTGTTTCTTGTTCTTTTAATTTATTATGCTTTCCTCTCGAATATTCTATAGACATTTTATACATTTTATAAATATACAACCTTTTCCAATTTCTATAAAACTAATTAGATAACTACAAATCTTTAACAACTTGGTTCTTATGGACCATATTTACAGGTCCAGGTTTCTCATCAAAATCCCATTTCCATGAAGGCTGAAACTGGAAGGGGCCTTGTTTATGCACTTATAGCCTTGCATTCTCCCTGCATCTATAATGCTGACATCCACACCCATTAACTCAAATTAATAAAACACAGGACTCGAATTCTAATTAAATTCTAATTACAAGGCCAAAAGGAAAAATGTTTCCCATAAGAGGCTGATGGGGAAGAAGTTATCAAGGTCATGAGAAAAAGTGCATACTGTACGTTCAGAAAAATGAGGATCTTCTCAGTTGTGATCATGCATGTGATGCAGGAAACAAACAAGTCCTAGGTTGATTATAATAGTGCACATTCAGAACCCTTATCTGCATTCACTGCTTGCTCTTCTAAGCTCCAACACCAAAACATGGCAGTACAGAATTCATCAGAGGGTTAAGTTCAGAAATAGGTGTGAACGGTGTAGACTAAGCAAAAAATTCCAGTTTATTTAAGCAAACAAAACAAGCCACATAATGGAAATGGAAGACAACCAGCCTAGCAGTATGCTAAGTGATCTAAACTAGGGAAGGAAAGGTTCATTCATGATCCCTTGTACAGGGATCAATTAGGTCTCAGGTGGGAGAAAAATCTATGCACCAAGCCTTCCCAAGTGGAAAACTTTATTACAGAAAAACAGGGCAGTATAGACAAGTGTCTAGGAAACAGAAGTTTAAATGAATATATAACTGCTTTTCAGAAGCTTGTATCCCAATTGTAACTGAAAGTGTGTGTGAGAGAAGGGAGACTTGTAAGGCAAAATGGTTTTTTAAAAGTTAAATGGGATTAACCTGGGGAGACATGAGGAGGGGAAAATGAGGCGCAGCTTATTGTGCAGCTCCTGGAACTCTTCAAAGGTACGTTGGATGTAGGTGATCTCAGAGGGGTTTTCTCGTTTCACCTTCACGATGTATATCTGCAAGACAGGGAGGGAAGATTTCCTTCTGAATCAATTGCAGCATCTAAAATGCTGTTCCATGGGTTGTATGGACCCTCCCCACTTGGCTTTCAGCCCCCTTTCCAGAACAGCCCCATGTTGGTTTTGCTAACATTGTGCCTACCCCACTGCCCACCTGTTGTACCAACATAGCCACTGAAGAAACATACATAGCCCTTGCTGGGGTTGAAGACCTTTTCATGCCGGCAGAGAATTATGTCAACTATTCGGCCGGACGTCTTGATTGTGTGCACACGAGGGGCAAAGGAGAGTGTCGGCCGTGAGTCAGAGGCTGTGAACTTCATCTGTGCCAGGTTGTGAATGAAGAAGTTGAGCTTCGTGGCTACACTGCCCAGGCTGGACTCGATTAGCCTGGATCAAGGGACAAAATGTTTAGTCTATAGATTGGCAGGGAAAAGGATGTCCTATCCCCCCAAAATTTTAGAGGCTATGACAGACATCCAAAGGATGACTTTGGAACATCAACATTTCCCTAGTTCATTGGAGAGAGTCCTTTGGGACACTGGAGTTTCCCTTTCTAGTTTTCTAGCCACCAGACTTAGGATTAGAGTTTTCCTACCTGGTGAAATAGGTGGTGGCATCTGCCTCAGAGTCTTGTGGCCTCAGTGCATCATAGACATACTTCAGGTCCTCAAGGTCTGAGAGCTCTGGGATCCCACAGGACAGCATCTGGGTACCCAAAGGGCATAAATTAGCATTCAAAGTCAAAAGAAATGCAAACGCTCCCAATTTGGTCTGTGGCACATGAAAACCAATTTCTTAGAAACAGCCAGACTGTTAATGGGGGCTAATTTCAGGAATTACATAACCCCTGTTACAGCAACTCCACTAGCTGCCAATCCATTTTCATGCACAATTTGAAGTGCTGGTTTATCCTATAAAACCCTAAACATTAAAAATATCCTTTTAAAAGACAATAAAGCATATTCCTAATATTTTTGCTCATGGCAAATGTGAGCAAGTAACATGTGCAGAACTCTCGGGACCAAAAAAACAGGCCTTGTGGCAACATAATAGTTGGGGACAGGGCCTTGGGGCTGCCCTTCTTCATGTTCTGGTCTGTGACACACCTTGAAGGGAAGGGAGATAGAGGAGAAAGACAGAGAGAAATCAAAATCAGCCAATTCTCTTTGGCGATAATATTACTATTGTTATTATTATTAACTAGAATTGACTTATCTTGGCATAGAGAAGTGTTATTCTGTTAACTGTGAACTGGAAAGATCATTCACACAAAGCAAGAAGAATGGCAGAGATTCACCTTGCACTGACACAGAATCCATGGAAGAATCCCATGGGTGATTTGCTATGCAATTTTTAAATTATAATTATTTCGACTTCACTGTCATGCAGTCATGTGTTTTTTAGGGCTGCCAGATATTGATCCAGAGGACATAATGTCCTGTAGAGCAGAGGTCCCCAACCCCCAGTCTGCAGCCCGGTGCCGGTCTGTGGGCTTCCTTGAACTGAGCTGCGGACACGGATCTCCGGCACCACGCATGCACAATGTTGTCCTCACGGGTGGGCATGTTGCACTTTTTGTGAGCATGACACGCCCCTCCACAAAGCACAACACGCCCACCCGCAAGTGCGACACGCCCACCCATTAGCACAGGGGTGCCCTCACTCCCCTGCACACGGAGCCCGCATCCCCCAACTGGTCCACAATCTGAAAACAGTTGGGGACTGCTGCTGTAGTGCTTCCAATTATTTATCATCATCGTCTTAGAACTGCAGAGATGGAAGAGACTGAGCTGGAAGAGACATTATACGTGAGGTCCTGTGCTAAACGGAAAAACAGAAGGGTAGTCATTCATTTAAAGTCAGAGAGCCACTCTTTGCATCCCCAAACTCTATCTGCAGAGGTCAGGGGGATATCCAGGAACAAAAAAAGTTCAGTAAGAGTTACATTGTGCTGCCTGGATAGATGCAGTGTTGCAGGAGAGCACAGACCATAAGGAAATAGGATCTGGGTATCTTACCAGGCCTAAAAGATTGATGAACAGATGGGTATGCTTTCGAATCAGGTTGTAAGCCTGACAACAGAGATCAACAAAATCATGGAAGCGACTAGAAGGTTTATCACCACCGTTGATGACATAAGCCATGTCTGACGTGAATACGAACGGGGCCCGGTCCCTGTATGGAAAATATGTACATATCATAGCATGGTATCACAACATGTTACAACAACTAAGGATGGAAGAGACATTGCACTTCCTTCTCAAATCAAATCAGAACATCATGTCCTTCTAGAGTAGACCTGCATAGCCTATGCTATCCTAAAGGGTCTTGAAACAGTGCCACAGTAAAGAAAGCTGCATGGCTGGTACAGGCTGTGTAGCAATTCAGTGGGTGGGTGGGGGGAGGTGGAATCCCGAAAAATTGGGAAGGTTAAAACATACATATATAAATGTTCATTGAGAGTAGACAGGCCAAATTCTCTTTTCCTAAAGACTGATAATCTGTTCTCCTAAAAATATTTTAATGAAAAGTAACATTTATCTCACAACAAATCAGAAAGCATACGACTGTATTTAGAGATCATGAATTAGAGTGTTAAATAAGCCATTGTCACAAAACAGGTTAAACATTTCTGGAATTCTAAAACTAATATTTGAGAGTAAAGATGTCAGACTTGGAGAGCATTCCTATTCTTAGATCTCATGGCTGGCACAGGTTACAGTGGCACAACAGTGTTCGACTGGCAAAGAGGAAAGAGGCATTTGCCCTGGGGCCCCAATGCAGAAAATTCTATGGATGACAATCTAACACCCGCAATGCTTCTGCTAATGGAAGGCCCTGAAGTGAAGTACTTGAGGGACAGCTCCTCCCTTCTCTTGTGAGATCTCATCCCTGGGCTCCACATCTGTGTCAGCTTCCCAATAAAACCAAAGAGAAAGCCAATTTTTAAAAACCAAAGCAGAACACTACTGCAGACAAAACAACAACAACAAAGCAAAACCAAGGGGATTTTTTAAGGGCGCATTCTGTTTTATTTTTACTTGTGTTTTTAATATTGTTCTTACCATGAGTTTTTAATTTGATAGTTGTTTATTTATTTTTTAATATTGTCATATTTTATTTTTTTGGTTTTTAATGGTTTTTTAAAATGCTCTAAGCCACCTTGGAGCTTTTAGGAGAAACAGGGCATATAAATATTGAAAACAAAATAAAATAAAAATAATGGTGACTACACACTGTGTATTCCCTGTATTGCTTCCACTTAGAACTGCTCTGTCAGTTCCCAAATAAAGCAGGTGTGTGACCCTTGAGGTCTTGCATGGCATATAAATTCAGTATTCAGACCCACTGTCTCCACACAAAGAGGGAAACAAGAATACAGACCTGCTTTGCCATAAGCTTAGTCAAAGTCTCAAACCTTTTACTTAGCATTAGCAGCTAGACCTCTCTGGTCAGCCCCACAGAGAATATTTCATAAACAGTGGGATGAAGTGGAGGCTTTTCATTCTTTTAGAAGACTGAACGTTTAACTGAATCAACGTCACTTTCACACTTTCCAAATTAAATTGACATTTTACATTTAAATATTTCTATTCTCCACTGTATTTTAGTATTCTTTAAAAAATGTTGATAATGAGAAAGAGAGAGGTCTTTCTCAGAATCCTCTACTTGGTCAATATTTTTTTTAAACTGTAAACTGTATTGAAAACAGGAAAGAAAACAATATAAGCCTTGGCACTTAATTAAATCTTACACTATCAATTTCTATATTACAGCTGGCTATTGGTTGTTGTTGTTTTTAATTAAGCCCAATTTCTTCAACTAAAGGCTACACAAAGTAACACTTTGCATTTTGCTTTGTTTGTTTGTTTGTTTGTTTGTTTGTTTGTTTGTTTGTTTGTTTGTTTGTTTGACTTTAGGCCAGGACTGAGAGTAGTGAATCTGTGCCAGGAAAAAAGAAAAAATTCAGTAGGAGCCAGTCCTGTTCCATCTCATACTCTCAAAAAAAGAGAGGCAGCTCTGGAGAGCTGGAACTCCTGAGTAGGTAGCCAGTGTTGGTGTTGTGCCAATGGTTACAGTGAAGAAGGAAAGTCCTGCTGCGCTCCTAAGGGCAATACAGTGGTGTCCCGCTTGACGATTACCTCATTGTATGACGAATCTGCTGTATGACGAGGTTTTTGTGATCGCTATTGTCTATGGGGAAAATCCGCTTTATGATGATCGGTTCCCTGCTTCGGGAACCGATATTTCGCTTAACAACGATCAAAACCGCTGATCGTTGGGTTTCCAAAATGGCCGCCTGCTGTGCAAAATGGCTCCCCGCTGTGTTAGGGATAGATTCTTTGCTCTACAGGGAGCAGAAAATGGCTGCCCTATGGTGGATCTTCGCTTTACAGTGAGGTATTTCGCCCATTAGGACGCATTAACCGGTTTCTAATGCATTCTAATGGGCTTTTTACTTTCGCTTGACGACGATTTCGCTCTACAGAGATTTAGCTGGAACGGATTAACGTCATCAAGTGAGGCAGTACTGTAGTGAAGCCTTAGGTTCTAAATACCACTATCATTTAATCTCACCTTTATTTCATCCATTTTATCTTAATTATTTTCATATTCATTGTAGTATCTTCTTGATTCTTATTTTTGCACTTATCTTGAGCTCTCACCTACTGTTACCTATTCCTTTGTTGTTTTCCACCCAGCAGGCAAGACACTCTCAGGTGCTGTACTACAAATGTGCCCTATTTTATTGGCAACTTTCTTTTTGTAAAAAAGCACTTGTCCAAGAAGTTTCCCATGAGCTGAAACAGAACATCCATTTGCAATCCTCCTGACGATCATATACTCTATCCATGTCATTACATTTGCAGACTTTCTCTTTCTAAGTCAGAGCTGCCAAATTTCAGGGACATTGGACAAAGGAGACAATGGACTTTTGATTATTGGAGACTTCTTGTAAATGCTGACCTATAGAGTGTTGCTGTTGTTAAGACTGGTGAGCAATCTGGCATGACTTCCCAGTTTCGTAGCTCTGTCATTTCTACCTCCCTTACTGGCTTTGTACAGTCTACCAGGAATGTACACTTGTGCAGTGCCTTTTGCCAGTTCCAGCAGTATGCACATTTACAACCCAGCACTTCTTACCTGAAACCAGTGTGGGAATTTACAATGACACCACCCACATTAGTTGCTTAGCCTTCATTTCATTTCATATTAGGTAAAGGTAAAGGTAAAGGTTCCCCTTGACAATTTTTGTCCAGTCGTGTTCGACTCTAGGGGGCGGTGCTCATCCCCATTTCCAAGCCATAGAGCCAGCGTTTTGTCCGAAGACAATCTTCCGTGGTCATATGTCCAGTGCGACTTAGACACGGAACGCTGTTACCTTCCCACCGAGGTGGTCCCTATTAATCTACTCGCATTTGTATGCTTTCGAACCGCTAGGTTGGCGGGAGCTGGGACAAGTGACGGGCGCTCACTCCGTCGCGTGGATTTGATCTTACGACTGCTTGGTCTTCTGACCCTGCAGCACAGGCTTCTGCGGTTTAGCCTGCAGCGCCACCACGTCCCTTTTCATATTAGACTTGGAGTTAATACAGATATGGGCATTTTCTCTCTTTTGCATTGTTTCTGCAACTGGTGCCCACTCAGCACCAGCAAATTTAGTCATGTCCTCATGAGCCCACAAGTTTGCTTGAAGTGCTTACCTTTTGATATTGCCAAACATCTGGGCATGGCCCAGAAACCTGCCAAAATCAATGTGGAACATGTGTCCAGTGGTCTTCAGCATGATGTTATCATTGTGCCGGTCACAGATTCCCAGCACATAAGTGGCTACGCAGCAGCCAGCACAGGAGTAAATGAAGTTCTCTACCGCCTGTGGAATAAAGACAGATGTTAGGACAGTCAAATAAAGAACTGAATGACATGCAATAAGGGCAGGCGGTTTGGCAACGTTTTGTGTTCCTAGGAAATTAAAAGGTAGTTACAGTCTGAAATGAATGAAATATCTTGCTAAGAAAACAAAGGAAATTCGGAACGGCAACAGATGCCAACACCATGTAGACAAATCCGGATCTCAGTGCTTGTCCTCTGCTTTTGTAATTTCCAGATATAAAACAGAACATTCCAACTTTCACATTAAACCAATCATGGAAATAAGCAAATTGCTTAGTTTCTGCCCCTCCCCCCAAAAAAGGTTTTTCACTCTCTCTTCATTTCACCTTACCTTCTCATATTCATCTTCCTTGGGGTTGTGCTTCTGTAGCCAGTCAGCCAAGGGGCGATCTTTGAAAGAGCCTGTCACACCATGCTCCACCTGGATCTTTCGTAGTGTTTCTGCATTAGGGATCATCTCAACCATTCCTTTAGCACATAGAAAGTGATCACATGATTGGTAATGCTGCCAGGGAGGAATTCTAGGGGTTGCAGTCCGAGAACAGTTCTAGTTTTGAACGTCCTCAGCAAATGCATGACAGAGTGTCCTGTCAATGGTTAAACTGCTGAAAATATCTCTATTCTTTTGAAATAACTGCTTTATGAAATCCTCACTAATTCCACTTCCCAAAAGCACCCACGACAGCAGCTGGGTAAGAGAAACTGAGATGGAAGTGGAAAAAAAATTATGTAGGGATGCTAACTTACCCCGACCACGGCCGGTGGAAAAACAACGGAATATGACCATGCGCATGTCCAGACCTTCTTGCACCCATATCTTGTTCATTATGCGAATCATTTGCAAGGTTAGCATGTCTTGCCGTAGATCATCTCCACACTGTGAGGAGTCAAAGACATGAGAAGTTTTGGGGGCTCTGTAACAGCTGATCTTTTGGAGAAAGCCATAATAAAAAAATTTGTTCATTTGAGTACAACCAACTCAATATAAAATATTTTATAAAATATTTTGAAATGGGGAACCTGTACTTATTTATCTCCAGAACAATTGATATTAACTTTCAGATCTGAACAGTGGTTGGGACACCAATGCGGTTAAGATGGAAGGCAATATTCTGCGGAGATGGCGGTCATGAGAGGAGATCTCCTATAACTGAAGCCAAAACGTGTGGCATTTCCCCATTGGCCCATAGGTTGACAAACTAAGAAGTCTACTCAAAGCCACTAATTTTAATCTTATTGCCACGTGATCTTAGAAGTCAAAAGAACAACTCCTAAGAAAGTCAGGTGTTAGACAAGAATGATTCATCAACAGAGGTAGGCTGAATCTCAGCTGTTTCAACTTTGCCCAAAAGCATCTGGGCAGAGAAAAGGAAAGCATTAGGTATAACCAGAGAGGAAATACCAGGCCTTACCTTGAAAATAACACGGATATTCTCCCCAAGAGGGTCTACATTCTGGAAGGACAGCTTCAGAGGGACAGCATTGGAGTTGAAATAGGAACAATCCTGAAGCCAAGGAAAGAGAGAAGGATTGGGTAAAGGCCACGAGAAAAGAGGCAGCACTACAACAAGATTTCTAGTAGTGTGAAGAAAGATGTGCTCTAGCATTGACTGAAGGGTCATCACAGAACTTAGTAGCATGCCCCAAATGTTGCATTTTTCTCTTACACAGGATGATTCCAACCCACCTCAAGTATTTTGAGCTTCAAATTCCCAGATTAATTTTACTTTTGACTTGTATTTGTAATGACAGCTAATTCAAAAGTGCAGCAACTTGGAGGCTCACAACACTGGGTCCGTTCTGATTACTTGTTCTTGGGATAAATACAGGTCAGGTTCTCTTACCTCTCTTCTCTGCCAACATGGAAAATGGGTAGTATTTAATATAAGTCTGATAATTCTATACTAGGGGTCCCCAACCTTTTTCACCTCACGGACCGGCTGCGGAAGGCGGGGCACCCCCCACGCTTGTGGCCGCTGTGCGAACGAGTGAATGTGAATGAGCATGTATACGCGCACAAACAGTGGCATGGTGCTTATGCACGCTTGCTCACTCGTGCGCATGCACAAACAGCAGCGCGGCACTCATACGTGGTACGTGCAGAATGTGCTAATCAGCTGTGTGGGGGTGAGTGCATGTGCAGGGGGAGCAGGAAGTCTTCTCCATGGCCTGATTCGGCTCAGGCCATGGACCAGCACCAGGCCGCGGACTGGGGGTTGGGTACCTCTGCCCTATGGATAGAGGGTCCTATCGTATAGTGACAAAGATGTGAGCTTGGAGGCATACAGTTTTCCAAAAGTTCATATCAAACGTAACGTAACTATGATTGTGGCACAGTGAATTCTGCTGGTAAAAAATCTGCAAAGCAGGAGTGCTGACTGCATTGTCATAGTTTCTAGAACCAGACAGTTTTTTTCAAAAAAAGGAATGACACCGTTGTGTATCTGCAGTTTCTATTGATTTTATTCTGTAGATTAGTCATTGCTTCCAGATGCACTCCTTGGCTGATTCTCTTCAACACTCACAGTCTGGTCTCAGTTAAGTCCTCAACTGAACCATCACAACAATACATAGCATGGTCTCTGGCTCCCTGTAGTGGCTGGTTCTGGTAAATACATTGTGAAAATACTTATTTCTAGGTTTTTTTTTTCCTTTCAATCGTTTTCAAAATTTCAGACCACAGATAAGTGAAAACATGGATACTCATCCAGCAGATACTGGGATCCTACTGTATGCCCAGCCTGGAAGAAACGGATGTCTACCCAACTGTCTGCAGTACTTTTGCAATAATGTGTTCAATGCTGAAAGGGAGACAGAAAGGGAGTACTTTCTATTTAAAGACATTTTAATTGAAATCCTATTCGCACTTGCATAAGATTTGAGTAACTTGCGTTGGCTACCTGCAGCTGATTGATGAAGTGCTGGGGTACATCCTGGTTGAACAAATCAGGCACATGACCAGGCATGTGACCCTGACATTCCTTGACACCTTTCAATTAGCGAGGGTAAGTTACTCAAGCCTTATGCAAACACCAGTATGCAAGCAACAATAATAGTATTGCCTGGAATCCATAACCTAAGGCCACCTAAGGCCAATGATGGCATCAGCAATGGAGAACGTGACAGAAGCAACTGGAAGTTGCAGGTTCAGTTCCTGACAGCCACACTTAAAAAGCTACTGGAAAAAGGAGTTTGCAGGAACAAATACCCCACTAAAAACAGTAAATAAAATCAACACCAAAAACACATTCAAAGCAATAAGTCACAACATTCCATTCAAAATCCCAACCCAGGCAGCCAGTCAATAAGGGAAAGCTTGCCTGAAGAAGGTGGTCATTGCTTGCTTATGAAAGGACAGCAAAAATGGAGCAAGTCTGGCTTCCAGTGGGAGGGAGTTCCAAAGGCCAGGAGCATCTTTGAAACACAGCTGCATCTTTGGTAGTGCAGGGATGGTGTTAAAATACTGGTTGTGTTTCAAACACTTACGGGTTTTTTAAACGGGCTCCTTATAATCTTTTTCATGGCAAGGGCAAGAAAAAAAAAGTCCAAAAAGAAGCAAAGAAAGAGACAACCCCCCCAAAGGGTCAAAGTCTGCATTGTGTGACTGTCCCCATCCTTATTCATTTATTACTTTCATTTTTTTCCTAGCTCAGAGCTTAGTAAAGTTCCTTTTGTTGCAACTACTGGAAGATAAGTTTCTGGAGCACCAGCATAAAAGGCCAGCATGGGGAGATTTAACAATCAGAGGGTTTGGTGACAAGGGATACATTTATAGGCCACTAATTAATAATATATATAAAATCATATAAAATGCAAGCTTTTGTGGGTGAATCACATGATCAGAGGCATTGTTGACATCACCTCCAGGACTAGTGGTCTATGAATGTAGCAAATGTAACGTAACTATCATTGTGGCATAGTGAATTCAGCTGGTAAAGAATCCGCAAAGCAGGAGGGTTAAACACTGGAGGTCTACCCATGGACCCATCCAGGGAGGGACCCAGCCTTCTTCTCCATTCAGCTGACACAATTCTTTTTTTCCTCTTCTAGAATGCACAACAATTCCCCTTTCTCTTCTGTTTCTTTTCTCTCCCACCCCATTTTTCCCTTGCAGGGCTATTCTGGGGCTAATTCAGACTTTCACT